CCGTAATTACAAGAAATATTTCGTTTTAATGAAAATTATTTTTTTGTTGCATAATTTATGATCGCCACTGTATATATTAGCATGAGTACAAATCTAAATGATTGATCTATTAATTATTATTGATCATTCCTGAGTTATAAGATGCAAATGAAGCCTTGAATCAACAGAACATCATCGTTAACAGTGTATTCAACATGGGAGAGCGATAAATAAACATTTGAATTCTTCAGCTTTAATCATTACTTTCGGTGATGATTAATTAGATTAGAATATTTTGCCATGTAAATAGATCCCCGGTTTTACCAGTTATCATAATTTTAAAATTGATTGTCTGACTTAAAGAAAAAAGACTTGCTTTCAGTATATATATTAGGAATTTTCCTAATAAGGTTATTAACATTTTGATTTCAGAATCAGATTAATTGGTGTTTTTTAACTTTTTTAACGGGTAATTTAATTATAAAACTGAGAAGTGATTCCTAAAGTTGGTTCCTAAAGTATTAATACCACCTTATTACTTTGATATAAATTAGTCACTCAATCCTGTTGATCATGCAACATTTCTCATTTGGTAAGAAAGTAGAGAAAGAAATATTTCATTAATTTTCATTACATAAATGCTAAAGATCATCTGAATTAGTAAGTCAGTCAAGATCGGTCGGTCAACCGGTCAGTCAAACCAGCCGGTCGGTCAAAGGTCTCTGACCGACCGCTGACGGACCATGATCGACCGTTACCATCCCTAGTGTAAATGGTAATATCAGCAATCTTGCACGAAAATATTAATGAAACCAACCTCGTTCGAAATGCATCAGTAATAATACACCAAAGTGACCAAACGACTTCAACAACTTCAATATGGTCATTTAAAAAGCTACAAGACAATTTTTGCGCAAGATATTCTGAATAACTCTAAATATTTATTTATTAGCTGATATAAAAATACTCGGATATAATTTTTTAAAACGGACGGATAACTCTAGGTCTAAGCTCTAGTTAAAGAACTATCTCTGTCAATACATCATCTGGACATGTAAGGCTAAGTATTATCTTCTCAATATTATTCGGCAATATATTTATTCCAATGGCAAAGTGCCAATATTAAATAATATGCTCATTAGAAAAATGAGTATTCTTTTATAATAACGATTAAATAAGTTTAACAGTTCCGTTAGATTACTTTTTTTTTTTAAAAAAATAAAATATTTTTAAGCGGATAGTCCCAAATTCCCAAATGCGCATTCCGATATCCGAAATGTTACATTATTACATTACTATTTTAGAATTTTCATTTAGGCGGAGTTATTTGCAGATCTTAATAACTTAACTTACTTTATTCTTATGTACATTATTTGTTACACGGTTAAAAAATCCATTATCAAAGAACCTTAAACGCACCTTTTTATTATTATTATTTAATCTACCAGACCAACTACTCGTGAATATTAATGTTTAAAGAAAAAAATTATACGCAGTGTTTTTGACAGAATCATTTCGCGATCATCGAACAACAGACCCTACCTATTTGGTTTAGATTGTTTTTTTGCCATTATTTTTTCGTTAATAATTTTATGATCTTTATGGTAAAAGAAAAAAATTTGAAATTATATTTATATTTATTTATTTAATTTTACTTTAGATATTTGTACTGGAAATTCTAGAAACATTAATGAAGTTAAAGTTAATGGTGTTGGTGTTGATGTTGAGACCACTCTCCCTTATAGCCTCTATGTAATAGAGTTACATAAATAATACCTAATTCCCCTTATTTCCCAATCTTTTTATAAATATTGTTACCACACATATTAATAATAATGATACGACAGAAGATTCAAATATGTCATTAATAGTAATACATATACACCTGTTAATATTCCTGATAATATGTTATATTTACGAATTTATTTCTTCATGGAAAATTATTTTATGTCGATTTAAACTATTTTTTAATTAGTTTAGGACAAGCTTCAATAATATCTTTGAACCAACGATTACAGATAAAACTAACGCCATAAAATTAATGCCACAATTACAACAATTACAACAAATACCAATGAGTTTAAAAACTAATGAATTTCAATTTATATTTAAATTCCCGAAAAATGTACTTTATTTTGAAATATCTGAGTATAAATGTAAGTTCACACATATATATATAATGTTATATAATCTCAAGTTTAATAATATATGTTCAATTTTAGATACCAATGTCATAGCAGGTAGCAGGTAAGTATATTTGAATCGGTATTTATATTTTTAAAAACACCAATGTGCGGCATTATATAAAAATAAATATTACAAATAAACGCAGTGCTCGATGTGGGATTTTAAATATAATATTTTATCCAAAAATGAAACTTTCCCATATTTGGACGAAGCTGTCAATAAAACGTAATCTTAGATTTGGCCATGAAACTTTCTTAATTGGGTTATTGAATAAAAATATTTTTAGTTGTTGATCACTTTAAAGTTAACGGTCATTCAAAAATAGGCCTTTGAGCCTGCTTAAATGACAAACGACGAGTACGTAAATTTTATATAAATTTTGTAACATTAGAAAAACAAATTTTTTTCAAAAAAAAATTTCCAAAAAAAAAAATTTTACGAAAATCATAGTCCTTCGTCAAATTTTTTATATACTGTATCATTTAGATTAGAAAAAAAGAAAAAAAAATATGGCACAATAATATCTTCAATAGGGATATATGATTTTATGTTAATATTTTTAACATTATGCATAGTTTACAACAAGTTACTTTTATTTCAGTTATTATACACGAGAGAATCCATTGCCCGGTCCTGTCTCGTTACTTTTAATTGGTAATATCTTGGATAGAGGTTTCGATGATTTAGTTGGTTATACCGAACGTATGCGAAAAAAGTACGGCGATTTATTTCGGACCAAAAAGGTTCATCATGTTAAGTAAATTCGAATATATGCAAAACATGTTTGAATATTCATTAAATTCAAAATACCTATGACGTATTCCATACTTTGCTGTTTTGGAAGAATTAGGCATTGCTGGATTGCGTTAAACCATGATGTAAATGTTTGGAAATATAATCGACACTTCATTTCTAGAGCGTTACAAACTCCTAGTTTCTCGAAATCATTTGTCATTTGGACCCAAAATCTAGTTGAGGAAATGATGGGTTTGTGGGAAGATGGATCTGATAAAAATGGATGTTTTGATACAGAACTTGTAGAATGGAATAGTGTCATAGATTTACGACAGACTCTATAACTTATCTTACAACCAGGAAGAGAATTCATGCAACTGAAGCATATTTCAATGAATTGTTGGCAGGACAAAACAGGAAACCCAAAAAAACTTTCAAGAATGATTTGCATGATGCATCGAAATTCTTTAATAGCATTAAAACTTTAATTGTTGGAATCTATTTCTTCATAATCGTTCCGCCTTGGATTCGAAAACATTTGCCAATCTTGGGAAATACATCAAAAAATATTTAAAGAATCGTGACTGGTTATTTAGCTTCGTTGATGAGATTATTAGACAGAGAAGGAAAGAAATTGAATATACCCTTCGAAACGAGTCACTACGATTTGACATGTTAACCTCTATTATAACAGATCGTGATATTTGTGAAATTAAAATGGTCGATGAAGAACATACACAACCAATGAACGACGAAATAATCCGTGGAGTTTTATGGAAACATTTGTCGCTGGAATTGATACGGTACGTTTTAAAATAAAATAAAAATTAATTCGTGTATGATCAATTGTTTTAAATAAATAAATAAATTTATTAATTATCTTATTTATTAGACTGCCAACATGTTTACTATTATCGTTTATTACTTGGCATATCATCCCGATGTATTAAAGAGACTTCGAGTTGAGCTTAACGCATTCTTCAAAAAAATGGGTGATCGACGTCTAGATCTCGAAAGTTTGTCGGATTTAGTTTACACCGATGCAATCATAGAAGAATCATCTATAATGTTCACACCTTTGCACGAAATAGCACCGCTGAGGATACTTTTCTTTATTTGATTTTTGTTTTATTTTGTTTACGTTTGTGTTAAGACAAAATTTTTAAGAGAAAAAAATTTCAATGTATATTTATTATTTATTATTTTCGATTACAAAAATAATTTCAACTGTGTGTTTCGGATCGCCGCGATTGAATATTTTCTTTTTTTTATTTTTGAATGGAATGGCTCTTTTCCTTTCTCTTTCTTACGTGTCTTAGGTAATTCGGGTTTTTTTTAAAAAATTATTTTTTAAACAATCAATAAATTATTATTTGTTCTTTTCAATTTACATGATTGATTATTAATTATATTAATTATTCTAATATTTATATTTTTAGTACTTTTCGAATCGTGACTGAGGGTCTTTTCGAGTTGCTTTTCAATAAGGCTATTATTATTATTATTTTGTTAAATATTTTTGTTTTTTATTATTTCCTCTTTTTTTTTTGACGATTTTGGATCGCAGCTGTTAATTTATTTTTTTATAGATTATATTTCTACAAAATAATAATTATTATGGGCAGAAAGAGTTAACTTATTTGGAAAGTTATTCAAGCAGACTAGTTTATTTATGGAATTTATGGAAACAATGGCAACTGGGAAAAAATTTAACCGAGGGCTGAGTA